CTCTGATATAAAAAAAAAAAGAGGGTGCTCAGCGCTGCCTACGTTGCTAGCAGCCATGAGAATGAAAAAAAAATTCTCTCTGCCGCTGTTTCCAAGCAGCTCTAGCGGAAAATAAATAAAAAAATTAAATTAAATAAAAAGAGGGCCGCTAACAGCCCTGGTAAAAAAAAAGGGAATCAGTGCTGCCGCAAACAGCTCTGGCGGAAATAAAATAAAAAAAAAACAAAATAGGAGGGCGGCCAAAACAGCGCTGCGAGAGAAAAGAAAAAAAAGGGAATCAGCGCTGCGGCCAAACAGCTCTGGCGGGGCAGAAAAAAAAATTTATTAATAATAAATTAAAAAAAAGGGCCGCCTAACAGCCCTGATATTTAAAAAAAAAATTTAATTAATAGAGGCAGCGCTGATGGAGAGTTCTAATATAAAAAAAAAATGCAGTGCTGGTGAAAAAAAAAACTTATAAAAAAACAAAAGATCAAGACATTGCTGCCGTGGGTGCAGCCTTGCAGTAGAATTGCATGCCACTTTCACTGGCTCTTGCCAAAATCACCTTTGGCAAAACGTGATTTGTGGATTTTCTTGGTAAAGTTGATTTAATTTTAGGTGGTATAAGTTGTGACAACAATTTGGTTCATAATTCTTATAAACCAAATTGTGGGGGGCATTTGTTGACACCTAAAATTAATTCGGCCGGAATTAAATGCCGTATTAATTAGTCTCGGCATTTAAGTCGATATCGCGGGTAAAAACGGTGTCGTAGGGAGTCGAGCGGTGTCGCGGGAAACAAAAAACGGTACCGCAAGTAAGCCCAGCGGTACCGCAACATTGGAAACGACACCGCTTGCCGAAAATAAAAAAGGGTCGTGCGTTTAATGGGGTTGGAGGAGGAGTTTTGATTATTTGATTATTATTTTTTATTCCTTGGGAGAAGCGGCACCGCGGGGAGTTAAAACGGTACCGCAAGGAAGCTCAGCGGTACCGCGGTACTGGAAACGATACCGAAAATCAAAAGGGGGCCGCGCGGTTAGTAGGGTATTGGAAAAGGAGTATTGTTTATAATTAATTATTGTTATTTTTATTCCTTGTTGGATGGGGAGAAGCGGTACCGCGGAGAGCTAAAACGGTGCCGCGGAATTAAAAACAGTACCGCAAGGAAGCTCAGCGGTACCGCGACACAGAAAACGACACCGCCGGAAAATAAGAACGTGCGTTTTGGTATTGGTGTTGGAAAAGGATTTTATTATTATTATTATTATTATTATTATTATTATTATTGTTATTCCTTGTGGGAAGGGGAGAAGCGGTACCGCATGGAGACAAGCGGCACCGCGGAGAGTTAAAACAGTACCGCGGATTTAAAAACGGTGCCGCGAGAGCCTGGTAAGCGGTACCGATTAATTAAAAATCATATCGGGCAAGTGACCAAAATTCACCCGGCCCAATGCGAGCGCCGACTGCGGCGGTTCCATGGATTAATATTTTTTGGCTATATCGGCGGTGTCGTTTAATTCAAAACGGTACCGCGAGTAAGCTCAACGATACCGCGGATTAGCAAACGACAGTGTTTAAATAAAAAAACAATGTCGCAAAAGAAAAAAACAAACGGAGCTGGTTGGGAAAGAAAATGACACCGCAAGGCTGGAAGCGGAGTCGTTTAATATTAAAACGGTGTCGCGGGTAGAATCAAGCGGAGCTGTTTGGGAAAGGAAACGACATCGCGGGATCATGAAACAATTCACGTAAAGTTCACGCGAAGCAGTTTGAGGAGCGAAAAGGTTGAGACACGCGGGATTTCACAACGGAGCAGTTGAGGAAGCGGTTCCACCGAGCGTGAAGACTACGAAGCAGTTTTTCGAATAAAAGCAGTGGAGCAAGGAGAGAGAAGGGACAACCAAATCAACACAGAAACACATCTGTCAAACTTTACCTTTTTTCTCTGTAACTCCTTTGCGGAGCTCTCCTTCCAGGAAGGATCTCCATAGTTGTAGTCTTAGTCGTAGTCGCGGAGCTCTCCACAGGAATCTCCATAGGAGTAGCGGTAGCGTAGATTCCTCAAAACTCAAACACCCTCGTTCGAACGTAGTTTGGAGAGGTGTGAACCGTAGTCACAGTCGTCTTGATTAGAAGTCAGTGGCGCATCAATTCGATCAAATCAACATCGTCGTTTGGCACGCCGGCGGTGGTATTTGGTCAGAAGATAGTGGTGCATCCGTTCAATCGGCACCGCAAGAGTTTCCACCGTGAAATATCAAATCAACATCGCCGGGAACGAATTCGGCACCGGCGGTGGCATTTGGTTTTTCCGGGAAACATACTCAAAGTCTATAATTTTAGTCCCCTCGCTAAATTTTTGGCTCTGCTACCGATAACAATGATCTAGTCTGATCTGAAACTCGACAAAATCAAGATAATTTTGGTACGATTTTAATATAATTTTAGTTGTTATTTTAAGATCCAATAGTTTTATGATATAACAGACTAGACGCCGATTGTGTTCCGCTCTCAGTATCAATTCAAACTGACATAATCCGGTACATATCAAACCATTGCATAATTTATAAAAATGATCGCTAGCTACTTGTATCTAGAAACTAATAACTATAGGATCAATGGACTGTTGACCCAGCAGGAGCATCCACCTTGTCCTGACGCCTACAAATAAAGATATTGTAACCGGACTCAGCGGCGGATCCAGGACACAGCGTAGCACTGGGCCGCATTTCATTAGAAAATTAGATATCTTTAAAAAATCACAGTTTTTTTTACAATATCAATTGTACACGTCAATCTTTTAAATTTTAATACAGTGAATTCATCAATAATAGAGTTTACATCCACATCAATAGCATACTCTCTTTAAGATAAAATAGTTAACCAATTGGAGAGAAATTCATCGTTCATTTTGTTTCGCAAATGTCAATACAATCGACTAATCAATTCCTATTTTCAACAGCTGCTCAAGAATAAACCTCATATTTCTTTAAATCTTTTACGTTTTAGAATTTTAGGTTTCATTGTTTGCTTTTCTTTATATGAGAATTATTGGAGCTAGAATTTTCAGGCTAAATTTAGAGTTGTGATTTGAATATGTTCATCTTACCCATTTTCCTAATTACACACAATTTTATTATAAAATAATACTGGACCAAATAGTTAAATCGATAAACTCATAAGGACTATACTAGTTCCGGATCCAAGGGAGGGCTGGGCCGGGGCCCGGGGTGGCCACCCCTGGATCCGCCACTGACCGGACTGATGCTTTCACGCGGCCATCACGGCCATCGTTTTCGTCTACCCACACCTATAATATATACCGAAAGCGAAACGACAATGGTAGATTCCAAACCAGAAGAGAAAAGAAAGGAAACGACTGATATGATGAGATATTGGTGACTGAAAAGAAGAAAGGAGGAGGACATGGAAGGAATGGAGTTGCGTGTGGAAGGGTAAGTTTTATGACGGCAGGGTTAGACGAACTGACGAAGGAAGGAAGGATAAGGTGGGAATTAGCATGGTAGGTGGTCGTTAGGAATCGCAACGGGTAGAGTTCCGGAGCTGTTATCTCGATATTCATACTTGTTCCGTGGTAGATTGGGTACACGTTGGGTAATTTATCATGGGGTCGCGGGTCGGACAAGTCTATCCAATAACAACGAGTATTTAATTTATATAAAAAAAATATTCGTTATTTTTATTAAAAGACCAGGAAACAGACCATATTTATGATAAAATATAGTTAAATTGTTGGAGAAATTGAGATTTTCACTTATTTACAACTTTATTATAGCTAAAATTTGAGATAATAAAAGGAAAATCATAAGTAATTTGACAAAGATTACATGTAATTTAGACAATAACAGGTCAAGATCGAATAGGGCGGAGTCAGAACAGGTCGGGTTGATGAGAGGTACCAATGCCCGCCCCGCCTACTGGGCGGGTCAAACCCGCTTCAAAACAGATCAAACAAATCGAATAAAACGGGTCAGGTTGGATGTGGCTGATACGGGAGCTCGATCGATCGGTAGTGGAGAATGGAGATCCTTTTTTGGAAGAGGGCCCTTCAGGCGCCCCCATGAGTTTTTGGAAGGGAGCAGTCTTCGTTCATAGCCTTGTGTTTTTTGATGGCGATGGCCGTACTTATTCTCTCTGTTTCTTTCTAATTTCTTTCTTCGAAGGGCCATCTGATAGCAAGGTTTCATTCACCACCTCATATATATACAGTACAAAGAAACTGGATAGATTATCATATGCTTTGAGTGTTTGGAAGGCGAAGGAAGTTGTTGATATGTGAGCTATGAGAGTGATTGGTGTTACTATACAAGTCATCGCGATAATTCGGTAATTCCTGAGCTTGTGTCTCGGTTAATATGTTTTTCTTTTATAATTATGGACTTGGTATTAATTTAGAGGCATTTTAGTGTGCTTTATAGTATTGGTGTTATAAAACGTTTACAGCCATTAGATCATGTTCAAAATATATCAGCCATTAGATCTTATTTAGATTATTAATATATTGTTTTATTTGTTTATGGTCAACCGGTACAACCGGTTGTACGTGAAAAAAGTTTTCGAAACCCATTCTCTTATCCTTCTCCTCTCCGAGCAGATCTGAGACCCTCTTCTCACCGCCGACTTCCAGAGAACATCCTCCGCCGCCGCCTTCGGTACTCAGTTTCCCTTCGTCTGTTGCTCCGCTGCGGTGCTGCCTGTATCTTCTTCTAGGTAAGTTTTTTTTAATGCGGTCTCTGTTATTGAAACTCGTTTTCGGCACCGGCGAGGAGGTTGGCCGACTACGGTCCTTCTCCAGCCAGCACCAGCTATCCTCCTTTCTGTTGTTACTCATTGATGTCGTTTCTTTTGTTAGAAATCATGAATGAGAATTGATTGATTGAGAAAGGGGAGTCGATTGTATAGAGTTTTGTAAACCCTAATTGAAAATTTGCGTTGGTATCTATTTTATAGGTAGAGACCTTTTTTTACTGGAAAATCGTGAAGCACTTCATATGCGAGCTGTGATGGATCTGGAAACGGAGAACAGAATAGCTGCAATGCTTCTCAGAGAAGCTGCAGAATTGAGGCGGCAAGCTGAGAAAGAAGACGTCCGTGCTTATCTTGAGAAACCTACTGTTAGGGCTCGGCCGAACTCACGATTCCTTACTGCAACTGTTCTTGGAGTACAGCAAGGTCAGTACAACTGCATTCTGATGATTCTATTGCAAAAGTTGGTGGAAGCACGAATATAGAAACTAATGCAGTCGGGAAATAATTCGGTTGTGCTTGGAGAATGCTTCGGATTCTATGGTGGGTTGCTTGCCCAGGTCGGAAGCGAGGGCGCTGCATACCGGGTGTTTTATGAGGTATTCTGATAGAGATTTTCTCAACAGTGAGGTTGCAGGAACTGGCAGTTCTGGAGGTGAGAGTTACTTTTTTTGGGTTTGTTCCTTTCTTTGGACAAAATGAGCACTTGTGTAGTTTCTCTGTTCTGTGAAATTATGGATACCCGAATGGAAAGAATTCATGTTGCTGTCTTTTCTTTTCCATTTTGCAGCAGTTCCGGTGATTGTGATAGTGGTTTCAGTTGTAAGCTGTATTCTGGTGTTGATTGTTGGTGGAGCTATTGGGGGTTATATATGGAAGCACAGACACATAGAGAAGAAACGAAGAGGTACAAATATTAACAATGGGTTTTCTCTTTGATTTAACAAGTTATTTTTTATGTGCGGATATGAATGCTTCAGGATTTATGATTTGCCTTGTTGCTTTAGGTTCTGAGGATGTGCAGAAAATGGTGAAGACCCTGAATGACAGCAGTTTGAATTTCAAGTACTCCACTCTTGAAAAGGCCACAGGATGTTTTGATGAAGCCAACAAGCTTGGACAGGGAGGGTTTGGCTCAGTTTACAAGGTGATATGGCATTTCATCCCTCTCTCTCTCGGCAAGCCTAATATGATTTTTTAGTAGGGTTTTTAGGTACCAGATCTTAATCATGTCAAAAACTCTGCAGGGAGTTTTGGCTGATGGAAGAGAGATAGCTGTGAAGAGGCCGGAAGTTCGGTGGCCGGAATTCCAGCTTCAGATTGTGAACTTGGGAGTCGAAGCGAGGTTGCAGAATGTCTCGGGTTTCTGGTTCTTGGGCATTGGACTCTACAGATATCGACGATTACTGCTTGATTTCGGTCAATCGGGAGCTATGGTGGAAGCAAAATTAATACTCGTCGAAGTTCAGAGGACCTTCGAAGAGCTGCACCTCGAATATAAGCCCTACCCTGGTGCTATTGCTACTTGTATGGCTTTATCATTGAGGTTTTGAGGTCTATCTGAATCTTGTCTTCCATTATCATTTGATACAGCTGCTCATCGTTGTCTTTTCCGGGCCAATTTTGTTTTGTGTATGATTGGCAGTGAACAAGTTGGCAACAAATGGTGCGAAAATGGTGATCATTCATAAGCAACTCCTCACGTCGTGCGTCAGTTACTATGGACAAGATGAAGGCACTGGGATTAAGACACATCTCTCTTTGGCCTTTGCTGGAGTCATCACTAGTGGAGAGTTGACATATCAACACCTGCAAAGGTTGGCCATAAGTTACGTTTCGATCCCTTTGGTTGTCAAAGCAATTGGTTTGGAATATGAATCACGATCAATGCGACTTGATGATTTGTAATTGAGCTCTTGAATTTTCGTTATTTGGCTTCTATTACAATGTATTAATTGTTTCCAACCCATGTCCCATTACGTATCTTGTCGACTAGATCCGTCTTTGATGGTCGACTCTGCCGCTTTCTGCTTTGATTGACTATTGAACAGCTTTAGTGCTTAAACAAGTATATATATTGCATTCTGTTTGAGCTATTGTTTTGTAGTTTTCAAACACAGTATGTTATGTTTCTTACACCATTATAATAAGTACAGGGTTAGTTCTACAGGTGAATGTATCTCACGGCCAATTCTGGAAATCTCATGGCCGTGAGATCGCCCCGTGGATGCAAAAATACAGGTCTCAGTTTTTCAGGGATTTTCACGGATTGGATGCAACAATATCACGCTCGTGAAAGAAGTCGTGTTTTTGGATTTGAAATTCTGGAAATATCACAGCCGTGAGAGAAGCCGTGGATGTAAAAATGCAGTTCTCAGTTTCCCATGGATTTTCACGGGTTGGGTTCGACAATATCACGGCCGTGAGATGAGCCGTGTTTATGGATTTGAAATGTTGGATTTCTCACGGGCGTGAGATTCACCCGTGCAATTTTCACATTGCTCGTTCAGACCCAGGGTGCCTCACGGCTTGTAATTAAACTCTCACGGGCGTGAGAATAAGCTGTGATATGGAAACCACTCCGATTTTCTCAGGGGATAGTTCAACAGGTGAAAGTCTCCTACTGGAAATCTGACACCTCATACTGGTAATCTCACGACCGTAAAATGCTCAAGTGAGATGTAAAAAGTAGTGCTTCATTCCTCAGGTAAATCTCACTGTCGTGAGATGTCCCGTGAGATGCAAAGAGCAGATCTCACTATACCAGGAAATTTCACGGCTACTACTTGACATTGTCACGCAGGTCAAAATCTCACGTGAAATTGAAACACACAACTGCCACTCAAACGTTTTCACAGCTCATTCAGGTAAAATAACGGTTGTGGAATTAAGATGTACCTACACTTTCTAGAGTTGTACCTTTACACTAAACTTAAAGTTGTACCTACACTTTTCTAAAAATCTTCTATGGTACAATTCACAATTGTACCTATACACTATGGTACAACTTAATGTTGTACCTACACTTTCTAACAAATCCCTTTATGGTACAACTAAAAATTGTACATATACTAATGGTACAACCTTAAGTTGTACCTACACTTTCTCAAAATTCTTTTATGGTACAACCCAAACTTGTACCTATACCATGGTACAACTTTAATTTGTACCTACACTTTCTAAAAATCCTTCTATGGTACAACCCAAACTTGTACCTATACCATGGTACAACTTTAAGTTGTACCTACACTTTCTAATAAATCCCTTTATGGTACAACTCAAAATTGTACCTATACTAATGGTACAACTAAAAGTTGTACCTACACTTTCTCCAAATCCTTCTATGGTACAACCCAAACTTGTACTTATACCATGGTATAACTTTAAGTTGTACCTACACTTTCTAACAAATCCCTTTATGGTACAACTAAAAATTGTACCTATACTAATGGTACAACCTTAAGTTGTACCTACACTTTCTCAAAATTCTTTTATGTTACAACCCAAACTTGTACCTATACCATGGTACAACTTTAAGTTGTACCTACACTTTCTAACAAATCCTTTTATGGTACAACTCAAAATTGTACCTATACTAATGGTACAACTTTAAATTGTACCTACACTTTCTAATAAATCTCTTTATGGTACAACTCAAATTGTACCTATACTAATGGTACAACCTTAAGTTGTACCTACACTTTCTCAAAATCCTTCTATGGTACAACCCAAACTTGTACCTATACCATGGTACAACTTTAAGTTGTACCTACACTTTCTAACAAATCCATTTATGGTACAACTAAAAATTGTACCTATACTAATGGTACAACCTTAAGTTGTACCTACACTTTCTCAAAATTCTTTTATGGTACAACCCAAACTTGTAACTATACCATGGTACAACTTTAAGTTGTACCTACACTTTCTAACAAATCCCTTTATGGTACAACTCAAAATTGTACCTATACTAATGGTACAACTTAAAGTTGTACCTACACTTTGTGAAACAAATTCTTCAATGGTACAGCTGAAACTTGTACCTATACGATATGGTACAACTCTAATTTGTACCTACACTTATATACATTGATTCATTATTTACAAGATTGCCATTAATGATGTGGGACCAGTCATTTAGTGGGTTTACCTCCTCAACAGGTCACCTTTTTTTTTGTTTTTTTATAGCATGGGTGCTATAGAGCATACTAGAAGGGCTCATTAATTTAGGGTGTTTTGATACAATTAGTAGTTATAGGTGTCCTAGTTTTGATACAATTTAGACTAATAATTCGGTAATTTTTGGGCTTGTGTATCATTAACATAATTTTCTTTTATAATTATGTATTTCATATTAATTTAGGGTGTTTTTTTATATAATTAGTAGTTATAGGTGTTTTAGTTGAATTAGGAGATGTTTCGTATTTAATTCATGTTTCTTGTAAGAGAAGAGAGGCAAAAGGCTAGGGTGAGAAGAAAACGAATTTAGTTGGTTAACTTTATAAATGTGTGGTTTGTTTATGAGTAATAATACGAGAAGATTATTTCTTGCTTTGTTATTCAATTATACTACTTTTGTAGTATTTGGTATAGTTCTTTCCATTAAGAGGATCCTCTGCTCGAGAGCGTTGAGAATGTATCCAAAGTCCGCAGGCCAAAGATTATGTCTCGTACTAGCTGATATTAGAGTCTGGTTCTCTGACATTGAAACATCCCTCCTCTTTGAATTTGGAAAAAGACATTTCTACCCCGGGGTATAGTTAAAAAAATCTCAAATAACACAAGTTTAAATAAAAATACCAAACTCAAATATCTCAATATCTCAAACCGTAGCCCTAAACATGTGGGCAAAACTCAAATTGTCCAAAGGAAATGAATCTCCAGTCTTTAACTCTTAACCATAACGTCTTAATAACTTAAAAAGTTCTTCGAAGCTTACTCTGATCCCTGGCTCGACATCTCTCAACGATGATAGTGTTGAACTCCTCTAGCTTGCTGATCACGGACTGGCTGGTTAGGTTTACCTCCTCTACAATCTGGTGAGTGAATTGGGGTCAGTCTACGCCTTACTTAAACTTGAAACGCCTATAGTTATTCCCCGGAAGCTCACAACAAACTCGAGAAAGTGATTTCTACTCTCGTCTTTCAAAACTTTAACTCTTGAAAAATGTATTATTTCGTCATTTAGCTTACTTTGGGGCCCCTACCTCGTCTTAGCTGGCGCCACTACTAGCCTTACTTACTTTCTTAAACATGACTACCCTCACAATGGGGTGCCCCTCAAATGGGTTTGAGCACCGCGGAACAAATCACCATCCGGTGTCAAACTACGGCGTGACTACCGCGGAACGTATCACCATCCGGTAGCACACCTAAACCTGGGCAATGGAGACCGCGGAACTTATCACCGTCCGGCTCCACGCCTGACCAACTACCGCGGAACTTATCACCATCCGGTAGTGATCAACTACCGCGGAACTTATCACCGTCCGGTAGGGATCCATCTAGCTAGTGGCTAGCTAAGCGAGGTTAACTTATTCTTACTCGTGACTTTCTCTTGTTCTTATCGTCATAACTTATTAAGCGGTTAAACGTCGTATGAACATAAACTTAAATGCTTAAATGTAGATATTGAAACGCTCAAACAATAATTCAAGTCGAAGCATGCATAATCAACACAATCACAAATCAAGCAGTGCACATAAACTTCACGTAAGACAAATACTTAAAACATGTAAGGCGTAGAATTTACCCCCTTTACACTCACCTTATATCCGTCGAAACCAACTCTGAATCTGCTCTAAAATTTCCAAACTTGCTCCAATTAAATTCTCCTCGTTCTCACGATTCCACAGGCGCTGACGATTTCTCGTTCGGACGTCAATTGATCGAGTTATGACCAAATTAAACATTGTGTCAGTTTAAAAGTACTAGGTACCAAAACTGAAATTTTCGAGTCAACACCGTTGACCACGACCTCTCTGGAAAAAATTACACATTTAATCCTCTAACTTCTCGAATTGCCAAGACTGATACCTGAACTGTCCGATTTGCGTCCCAAACTTTCGAGGCTCGTATCTCCCTCGTCCGACGTCGAAACTCAATTCCGTCAAGACCGCGATGCTCCTGGGATCGTCCTCTACGTGATGGTACCAAGGTTTCGAAGCTTGGTTGAATTCGATTACGCCGGGTCGTCGACGTACTTTCCGGCTAGCTCACTGTACCTTGTCGTCGATCATGGGCCACGATTCGAGGGTTAGCTTAACGTCTGATTTGACCTATGAGGGGCTGAGCTTGAAGTCCTTACCTTGAGGATTATGATTTCGTCGACCCAGGAACGGAGGATCGATCGCCGTCGGGAAGCTATGGTGCGACGAGATAGAGAGCGGTGGCGTGCGCTGTTGCTGTCGACGGAGAGAACTGGCGCCGAGAGTAAGAGAGGTCGGGTGGGTGCTGGGTTTATTTTTACGTTTCTTTCCTTCTTTCTTGACTTCCGCTGCCGCTGCGTATAAGAGAAGGGGAAGTGGGAATTGATGGATTTTGTTACTGGGCACGTTAGGGAGAGAGAGAGAGGAAGAGTCAGAGAGAGAGTGATGGCGTGTAACGGTTTTAGGGTCTTAATAATTTTTTTTTTTTTCTTTTCTCCTTCTGCTAGGGAAAACGCAGCTGATGGTGGTGGTCATTAATAGAATGATGATAATAATAATAACATTACTTATTAATGTTATTATTATTATTTCTAATTTACAATTTTCATGCTTTGTACGTAATCGTCGATCTAACTGTTCGGTCGAACCTAAACCCAAATGTCGGGGTGTGACATTTCCTCCACCCTTATGAAAATTTCGTCCCCGAAATTTGAACTATAAGCTATGAACGCTGTAGGATCAGGACCGTGAACAACATCT